AGGGTGTAGAACCAGGAAGCTCTTACACTTCCCCCCTCAAAGCCCAGTACAGGGGGTGTATTGGGGATGGGGAAGGTCATGTCCAGGAAAGGGTCTGCTGGAGCACAATATGCTCTGGCTATCTCCAGTTGGTGTACAGTCCAGAAGGAACAGTTGCCAGCTAACACCAGTTAGAACAGTCTGAAGGGTACCCTAACCTGCTGGGACAGAGAATCAAATAGTTATAACTAGCTCCCTGACAGCCCACCCTCTCTGCTGCATTCAGCAGAAGCCAACAGCTGTTGAGAACCTGGCCTTTGATTTTCAGGTGAAAAAAAATGAATTGCAAAGGCAAGAGGATAGCACACCAGCTTCACCCACAGCTCAGCTATTTGTTTGTAATGGGAAAAGTGAGGAAAATCTCCAACTATTAATCTTCTGTGGCTTTCCAGCCAAGGAATGGATTCCCCTCCCTTTTCCTCTCCCTCGGCCATCCTCTGTATAGTTTTCCATGCTTTGTGCTATCACTTCCAGCTTCTATAGTGATGTACTATCTACCTGGGTCAGGAACTTCAAGGCCTTTGTGTGGCTTTCCTGCTTTAGGAATTTCCCAAACAAATCATTGCCAGAGTCCATTGATACCAGGAAGTGATACTTGCAGTGGTTTCCCATTGATATCAGCTTCCCATTTCATCTGATTGGATCATTTCAGAACCTGCATAAAACAGAGAAGAGTGTCAATATCACACTGTCTTCATTTTCCAGGATCTAGGAGAAATTCACCAGTTTAGGAGACCAAAGGAAAGATGACAATTGCCTGGGCAGGAGTGACATCAGATGGGTATAACTGTCAAGATCATAACCTCTAAAATAATATTGAGCTGGGACTTCTCGAGGATTGTCTTTGGCAAGCAATTACATCTCTTTCAGTAATAAAACATAAACATAAACAATCAGGTCAAATACTGCAGTCCTCATTGAGGCAAAATTGCCATTGGGCTACATCCTGAGAGGTGCTGAGCACCTGACACGCCCATCGACATCAGCAGGAACTTTGCCTATGATATAGAAGGAGTGAAGACTGAATGATTTGACTCATCATTGTTAGCTGGCCCCTTCCATCTTTGCCTTTGTGCTCTCTCTTTTTTTCTTCCACCGAGGCCAGAGAGCAGCTGATTTGACCCTGGAGTTTCACTGGAAATTTTTCAGAGCCATCTGTTAGAAGAAGGTATTTTGGTCATGTTGTCCCACAGGCTATAGAGTCCAGGTATCATTTCTTCAGCACACTGTAGGGCAAAGAGCAACATGCAGACAGATAACGCAGTGATTGAGCAATCTAACACTGCAGAGGCTGGGTGTGCCAGGTCAGACGTTAGCAGAAAATAAGTGGGGGAGGGGAGAGGCCTAAAGAATACTTAAGCATCACCAGTTCACAAGGGAGAGAAGGGGTTGGCAACCAATCACTGATACACGCTCTATAATGAGAGAGTTGAATGAGGCCAGCTTCAGTGTGCAGTCAGCCTGTGAAACTCACTGCTGCAGGAGACTACAAAGTTAAATATTGTAGCTGGGTTTTGAAAGGGGAAGGAAATGTTATGCCCAATAACAAGATTTGTAGATTTGTATATGAAGATTAGGGTAAGGATCGGGGGAGGGTAAGTTGGAATGGGATCCAACTCCCTCAAACTTCGGATATTGACCACCCCCTGAAGCAGGAAGTTAGACACATGCTATGTTTGTAATGTGGCAAGTTATGAGTGCAAAACATTCCACTGCAGGTGTGTGATTTAAAGCGATGTTAGTGGAGAGGTATGTGTACATAACTAAGGACCAGTGTGCATGTGGAGGGAGCAAGGGCGAGAGTAGGGGACAAAACAGATTTCAGAGTAGCAGCCGTGTTAGTCTGTATCCGCAAAAAGAACAGGAGTACTGTGTTAGTCTCTAAGGTGCCACAAGTACTCCTGTTCTTTTTGCGGACAAAACAGAGTGAACCTGGTGCACTGTAGCCAAATATGACAAAGATACACTTACATTTTAGTTCAGTGTGGCAGCCTTTGTTACCATGATCCTCCAGCTAGCCTTACCAGAAAAGCTTACCTTCCTACCTACCTCCTATCCACCAGATTTTTTCAGAAGCACTTTTGCACTTTCTCCCATGCTGCACAATATGCATAGAAAAAACTCCCCTATAGAATCTATACAGCCATTACCTTCTCTTCCTTCAAATGCCCCCTTAACTCACCTCTGTCATGCTGCCTACAAAACCCACCCTGCTGATAATGTTTAGGCAGGTGGCAAGTTAATGTTACAGCTACTGATCGGCTTATTACATCTCCAAATTGTGGTAAGCACTTGTTCCTGCTCCTCCTCCTCCCCTCTCTCCTCCTGTTTGTTTGAAATTATGTCTTGTCTTTGATACTGCAACTTTTTGTGACTGAACCTGTCTCTTACTATATGTCTGTACAGTGCCCAGCACAATGGAGCCCTGACCTCACTGAGATCTCTAGTGACTAATTGCAATACAAATAATAAATAACAAGTTAACAATTTGCAGTGGGAAGTATTTGCAGTTTTTATCCAAATGCAGCCTGACTAGAGAGCAGCTAATAGTGTAATTTCAGTAGGCAGATCTTCTTATGAACACTTCATTCTTTGATCTGTTGGCATTATACAGATGTCCTCTGCCCAAAGCTAACACCAGCTCTTTCTGGACTGTAGAAAGAGGTGGGTGCAGAATTGGAGATCCTGGAATCACTGAAAAAGAGGGAGAGCTTCTGCAATGCTTTGGTATAGGTCTGATCCTGGGAAAAGAGCACATTGGGAAACAAGGTGCTACTGTGATGTTCCCGGGGAGTTGTGAATTTGGGAGCAGAATCCAAGACATGATGGGAAAGCTGCAAGAGTGATCTCTGTAAAACAGATCTGAATAGGTTGTTCTCTTTGCCGTTTTCCTTTTACATTAATTTTGTTTCACTCTTTCACTGTTTGCATCTTTCTTCTTGTTCAAGCAAAGCTGTAATAATTTGTGTTTTATTGCATTAGAAATAGAGCTGGTTGGAAATTGGGGAATATTTCCAAGGAATTTTTTTTTGTTTGAGAAAACGAAATGCTTTGAACAAAAACAAAACAGAACAAAATTCAGGCTTCCCTCAACAAAAATATTCTAGAAAAGTAGACACTTTCTGCAAAAAATGTCATGTTGTCAATAACCCAATTGTCAAAATGTTTTGACAGAAAATTTTGGATCAGCCTTAATAAAAAGTGCTGCTACTCTCAATTGCTTCTTGGAGAAAGAACCAGAGCTCAGCTTCCTTTAATAGGAATGTCTACACCTCAATACCTACCTAGAGCAGCTTTCCAGAGCAAAAACTCTTTAGGAGGATGAAGACACAGAATGGGAGAGTAAATAGCCATAAGAGCAAGCCCTGGCTCACTGCAACTTACCAATATTTACATTCTGTAGAGATGTTTGGATCTATAGAGCTGTAGGCTCAAGCCACAACATTCAGATCCAGATCTGGATCCAGAATTCTTTGTCCAAGCCCAGCTCCACAATTAAATATCCTTATTAACAAATGTAATTCACCAAAGACTACTGCATAAAGACAGAAATATTTGAATTCTACAAACCTGTTAGTGTACATTTGCTACTGAAGTTTAAAACTTTTGAAGAAAGAAAGAAAGAAAGAAAGAAAGAAAGAAAGAAAGAAAGAAAGAAAGAAAGAAAGAAAGAAAGAAAGAAAAAGAAAGGATGCTTCATAGGCTGATTTTTGAATTCTTCCTCTTTTCAAAGTCTGAGGTTTGAACATTCATGAACAGTTGACTGTTTGAATCGTATAATGCAATACCTGTTCCTCTGGCTTAACGTTGCAATATTTCCCACACCGCAGGATTGCTTCACATTATTCTATGAGGCAGTGTCATTTTCTCTGCAGTGCTGGTCTTCTTTACTGAAACGAAGGACACTCCTACTTCCTTTAATTATATGTTTTGTTTTAAATTGATGTCTTTTATTCTGAGCATGAATCACCAGCTTGTAAACAGGTAAATGTGGGAGTAAAAGGGAAAACATAAGTTTGATTCCCAAGGTGGGTGTCTTTAATTAAAATGGACATAAGAATTTATTCTTACTTCCCAAATTTACCATGCCCCCCCCAGTCAATTTGACTTAATAAATTAGTAAATCATTGCATCCCATGCCTTTACGCGTATATATCTCACTTTTTTCCATTAATTTTAAATACAACTCCCAGAGCACAAACTCCATAGCACTTGTGTACTCTGACAATTGCAACATACCATATAAGGCAAACATGCCAGGCCAAACTTTAAGGCCATCCACCCTGCACACAGAAGTGGGAAGGGGAGTTTGGGATTTGCCTGGCACTTCTAATCATGGCCAGATACAGAGAGGGTCTTCTGAGGCAGTGCCTTACCCTGCTTTGAGCCCAACACAGTATGCTTTTTACACCCACTGTGGCAACCTGGTTCTGTAGGGGACAATTTTGCCTGCCAGCACGATAAAATTCATAGGGCACTGGATTGGTATTAAGATCTGGCTTCTATTCCTGGCTCCAGGGCTGTCTCTAGGGGGGGTGCGGGCCCAGGGTGGAAGTAACAAATCTGTCACTTCTGGGACTGATCCGTCACTTACGGGACCGATCACACCAGCCAATTGCATTGGCCTGCGGGGCCTACCAAAGCGTGGGGCCCGGAGCAGTTGCCCCAATTCGCCATACCCAAGGGATGGCTCTGCCTGGCTTTACCCCTGACTGGATGAGCTACTTTGGGTAAATCACTTAACTTCTGTGCCTTAATATGTAAAATGAGAATACTGACACTCACCCGCCTTTGTACAACACTTAAAGATCTACAGATGAAATCTACAGACATCACAAGCCTCAGAGACAATGGATCCAGCCCATACTGGCCTCTAGTAGTCACATCTGGCCACTTGCTGTCCCCACAGCTGGACACTGCTAAAGCCTGAGTGGTTTGGGTTGGGGAGGGAGAAGAAAAGGGCTGGAATCTGGGGAAGAAGGACAGGGGTGGATCTGGTGGCTGCTTTTTCCTCCTCTCTGAGGACAGATTGGATCAGGCAGGGGAGAGACTCAAGCGTTTATGCCCATACTGGGACATGGGCACATGCAGTGTCCCACTGTGTGTGCATTTGTCCTAGGGTCACACCAGGGTTGATTACCGTCCAGTGACATCTCCTGGAGATTTGACAACAGCTAGAGAGAAGAAAGGAGAAGGCTGCGATCCCTTTCTCCGTCTCAAAGCTTTCCCTCCCCTTAATGATGGTGAGAATAAGTCCCCTCCGCTCCGAAGCCAGCCCTGTTTTTCTTATGAATGACTAGGTCAGAGTCACACACACCAAGTGCCTCCCGCGGAGCTAGAGGCGGTAGTTTACAATTACAACTGTACAAAGTGTGCACCAGGTGGCAGACATCCAGCCAGTGACGTTCCTGTTGCCATGGGATCCACCGCCCCTATAAATAACAGCAAAGGAACTTTCCTAAGTCAGAGACTTTAGGACTCGGGACCTAGAACCAGATGGTCCGGAGGAGAAGCAGCAGCCGCCGCCGCAGCAGGATCTGAGCCAGCCCAGGTGGGCAGCACAGCTGGGAAGCCGGACCCAGCACCAGAGACCGAGGCAGGAGTTGCAGGCCCCCCACGTCACCTTTGGCAGCTTGATCCTGTGGCTGGGGGGGCCCCCTGCGCTGTCTCCTCCTCCCTGCACCCCCCCGTTGCTTTCATGCAACGCCTGGTGGCCTGGGACCCAGCATGCCTCCCCATCCAGCCACCTGCCTTTAAATCCATGGAAGTGGCCAATTTCTATTACGAGGCGGACTGTCTGGCTGCTCTGAGCAAGGTGCACCCGCGGGCGGCAGGGATCCGCTCCATGACTGAGTTCACCGTAGGGGACCACGAGAGAACCATCGACATCAGCCATTACCTGGACCCCTTAGCATCCCAGCCGCCGCCGCCGCAGCCGCAGCCTCCTCCTGCAGGAGCAGCAGCAGGGGGCAACTTTGAGCCTCCCTGCAGCAGCAACAGCAGCCAAGATTTCCTCTCCGACCTCTTCTCCGAGGACTATAAAGGCGGCAGCAAGAAGCCCGACTACACCTACATCAGCCTGCCCAGGCATTGCCACCCGGGCGCCGGCCAGGGCCAGAAGCTCGGGGGACTGCTGACCTGCTTCCCGCCCCAGATCGTGGAGACCAAAGTGGAGCCGGTCTTCGAGTCCCTGGACTCTTGCAAAGGGCCCTGTAAGGAAGAAGGAGGCGCAGGGCCGGGGCCGGGGGGCATGTCCTCCCCCTACGGCAGCACCATGCGCTCCTACCTCGGTTACCAATCGGTGCCAAGCGGCAGCAGCGGCAACCTGTCCACCTCGTCCTCTTCCAGCCCCCCCGGCACCCCCAATCCGTCCGATTCCTCCAAATCCGGCGGCGGGGGCTACGCCGGGACCCCCGGGGGCAAGAACAAGTCCAAGAAGAGCGTGGACAAGCACAGCGACGAGTACAAGATCCGCCGGGAGAGGAACAACATCGCGGTGCGCAAAAGCCGGGACAAAGCCAAACTGCGCAACCTGGAGACGCAGCACAAAGTGTTGGAACTGACCGCCGAGAACGAGCGGCTGCAAAAGAAAGTGGAGCAGCTCTCCCGGGAGCTGAGCACCCTCAGGAACTTGTTCAAACAGCTGCCCGAGCCCCTGCTGGCCACATCTGGCCACTGCTAGCCCCACCGCTGGACACTGCTAGAGCCGCAGTGGTTGGGGTTGGGGGGGAGGGAGGGAGAGGGAGAAAGGGCTTGAATTTGGGGAAGGAGGATGGGAGGGGGGAGGGGTGGATCTGGTGGCTGCTTTTTCCCTCCCCTATGAGGACAGATTGGATCGGGGAGGGGGAAGAAATGGGGAGAGACGCAAGGTTTTTGTTTTGTTGTTGTTGTCTTTTATTTGCAATTTGGTGGAAAAATCTTCCGCCGCAGCCTGTTTGTCCTAGGAGGGGGACTCTCCTGGCGGGCGCCGGGGTCCTCAGCACCGTGTGGCGGAATGACAGTTGCCGATGGTAATTTTTTTTGTATGTTACAGTCCCACCGAGCCCCCCTTTCCCCGAAGCGGTCTCTCTGCAGAGTTTGTTGAATGTTCGTGTTATTTAAAACAGAGCGAGAGAGGGAGAGAAAAAGCAGAGAGTGATGCAATCCTTTAAACATGGCTGGGAATGCTGTGTACACATGATGCAATCTCGTGTAACTGTCAGTCATGAATTGAGTAATCTGTTAAAGATGTTCCTGGGGTTTTTTTATTATAAAGAAAAATCTATTTCTATAAGAAAAAAACACATATGTATATTTTGGGATCTATAAACGTTCTTGCTACATTCGAAGCATTAATGAACAATTTTAATAAACTTTATGGCTAGGAAAAAAAGGAAACTTGTTTTATTTTAAAGGCACTTTAAAGCCAGAATGAAATCAGTTGAAATGCCAGCTAGATCTGGCTGTGTCAGGAATCAGGGCTTTCTGTTGGCCTTTTGACTTTCTCCGTGACTCAGCAAAAAAACGGGAGAGAACCAGAGAAGAGCAGCTGTGGGAGCTTCAGCCAGTTCCCCCTTGCTGCCTCACTGAATTTCCTCTAATCCCTTGAGTTAAATGCTGTTTGGGATTTTTTGCAACACTCATAACTCTCCACATGCCAAGACCCAGAGGTGCCATCCAAACCGTGAAAAATGTTTAACAAAGTCCCTCCAGGCGAGGGACAAGGTTAAAGCGTGGGAGCGGGTGGGGAAAAGAAAAAGTAAAGGAGGAAGTTTGAAATGAGGAGGGATTCTTTCTTTAAAGCTCAAGTGTTTGTAGCCTCTCAGTTTCATGACTCAGCATTTCTAATGTCTGTGGTTTACAGCAATGAATAGTGATAACATGGCATTTTTGTGTTGGATGGCGGTAAATTTGGGCCAGCAATGAGGGACCTCTCTCTCACATAACTAGGGCCCGTGATAAATGTGTGAACAACTCTCTCTATAATTTCCTACTGAGCCTTCTTTTTAAAACGTTTTTCTAAAAGAAGCTGTTGAAACAGTTGAGTTTTTGAAAGGTGGGTGTGTGGTAATGGTGGTGGCAGTGAACAGGTCAGGTATGTGGTTTAGGGTAAAAGTTAGGGTATAGGAGGATGTGTGTATGGAGCCATAAGAACTTTGTGACAAAAATAATAGAAGCTCTGCCAGCAGATGTACTATGTGGGATTTGTCAAGGCCTGTGAGTTACACATGGCTCTCTATAGTTTGCTCTAGTGTACGTGCCTGTAAAATGTTATGAGAGCCTAGAGCTGATTACGTGCAGGGAGTTGGGTACATGTTCAGGTCTTATTCAGCATTTTCCAACATACTAGGCCTACTCTAAGCACATCCATCTTCTAAATCCAGATGTCGAAAACTACCAGGAAAGAATTTCCTTAACCCCTCTATACTGTGCTTTACAGTAGGGCACAAATGTTCTGTTTCTTTAAGGGTGTGGATTTGAACTTGCTGCCTGTTATATATTTTACTGTAAAGGACAGTGATTGGGAGTGGATGTGGGGTAGCCTTAAATTTGGTGTTTGTTGATACTGATTTTACTCACAAAATATGTGGTTAATGAGGGAGTTGTTTTTAATTTTCAGTCACAGTGATCACATCTTCCTCAGGCAGGGAAAACTAGAGTCTACAGTGGAGTTGATCATGTAACTCTCTGTTCATGCATATCTCCCATAGCCCTCACGAGGAGCTATGCAAGAGTAAGGAGTGTGGGATTAGATTCAATGCAGCTGTATTTCCCTTTTGCTTTGCAGTTTATACAAAGTAATTAAGGGACTTTTCTGAGCCCCTAGAATCAGGCTTTTTGGGGTTATCTAGTCAACCTTCCTGCATTGTGGCAGGTTCACTTCTTGCAGGCTGGCTGGATGTCAGGTCTTGCCTTGAATCTACCTAGTGATGGTGATTTCCACAATCTCCCATTACCACTGGTTCCACGGTTCCACGGTTGAACTGTTCTCCTAGTTACAAAACTTATCCTAATATTTAGACCCTATTCTCTTTTCTGCAGTGAAGGCCCATTTGTTCTCAAACTTGTAAGTGATGGTTCTGAGTTACATGGGAGGACTGCTGGCTTTAGAGTTGCTGAATGAAGGGCTGGAAATATCCCCAGGAACATTTCTTATTTCATTTATAAAGGACAAAATTTCCATCCAAATCTGTGTGTGGAGGGCAGATGTGAGGGGGAATGGAACTGAAAGAGAAGACATATTAAAGATCCTAATATTTGTTTAAAATAACATTATAAATCAGTGGGCCAAATTCCAGCAGTGGAGTTGCACCAGAGATGATGGATGGGCTAACCTGTTGCCTTTAAGCCTGGACTTGCTATAATTTAACTGGGACCCACACAGCTGTAATCAAGACAGATTGACAGGGGTACTGGAACAATTTTTATAGTGGGGGTGCTGAGACCCATTGAATCAAATTGTAAACACTTTACATAATGGAAACCACTTCAAGTCAGGGGGTGCGGGAGCACCCCTTCCCTCCCCCCAACATCCCTATTTCCAGCATTTATGCAGATTGATATAAAGACTACTTGGATTATTGCTACAGAATCTAATGCCTCCCTTAATTTGGACCATGTGTAACTCAGCTGGGATGTATCAGTACAACACTGAGCTTTGGTGAGGTAGGTATTACTACCCCTAGTTTACAGATAAAAACTGAAGCAAAATGTTGTGATTTGCCTTAGGCCTCAGAGGGCATCTGTGTCAAAGCCAGGATAAGAATTCATGAATCTCTGGTTCTGTGTGTTTTATCCAGCCACCTACCTTACAGTTGAGCAGCTTTGCAATGATTTTAGGTGTGTATGGGCCATGGAATACGAGTCTTCAGAAAAAATACCTCACAATTAAAAGATTTCGTCGTATAAAATATGCAGGGACTGTTATCTGGGGGAAAACAGAAACAAAAAACAACTAAACAAAGCAATCTGGGCAATCCATCCAAGTTTGATCACAGCAGAGAAATGGGGACCATCCCCGTCCAAACCTAGCTCATTCTCAAATATTGATCTAGAGTCCCATTAAAAATACATTTCTGCTGATTGAAAACAGAGCCTCATGCACCTCACTTGTCACTTTGCTCTGTCTCTTCTGCTTCTCTGTGTTGAGGACGCTCATGGAGGAGCCAAATATATTTTGGGGTGTGATGCTGGAGTCTATATGCAAGCAAAACTCCCATTGAAGTAAAGGATCAAGATGAGACCCAGGAGCACAATTTTGTTTCCTTTGAAATACGTGCGAACCATTCAGATTTCAGCCTTTTTTTTCCAAGTTATCATTAACACTTATTTTTTATTTCTACCAGCTCATGCTTGCTGACCCCAATGGGGATTTGCTGGGGTAGGAGATAGCAGAATTTCCCCATCTTTAGAAATATAATATTCCTAATGAGAACATAAAATCCCTGCCATATACATTCTGTTTCTAAAGGGTTCTAAATCCCACTTCTGAATCTGCTACACCAGTTGTTCTCAACGGGGGTCCGGGACCCCTGGGGGGTCGCAGAAGGTTTCAGGGGGTCTGCCAAGCAGGACCAGCATTAGATTTGCTGGGGCCCAGGGCAGAAAGCTGAAGCCCGACCGCCTGGGGCTGAAGCCCAGGGCCCTGAGCCCCGCCCACACAAGGCTGAAGCTGAAGCCTGAGCAATGTCGCTTTGTGGGGGCCCCTGTGGCATGGGGCCCATGCAGTTGGCCTGCTTACTACCCCCTAACGCTGGCCCTGGCTTTAACAGTTGTTGTGGCACAGGTGGGCTGTGGAGTTTTTATAGTATGTTGCGGGAGGCCTCAGAGAGAAAAAGGTTGAGAATCCCTGTGCTACACCATTTGGATTCAGTGATATTTAATTCCACAACAGAAAATCCATTCCTCAAAATGTATTGTTTAAATAAACATAATTTAAAATATTAACAAGTTCTAACTTTTAAGCAAGTTATCTCTCAATCTGTCTACCTTGTACTACACTTGTCACCGTGGCATCTGCGTGTCACAGATATTTTAGCAACAGTTTTCTGCATTGCTGATGTTATATGCTGTTGCTTCACATTCTAAAGATGCTTAACTCGCATTGCCTTCCATTAGTTACCCCTGGAATTTTCAGCAGTAGGAATTATTGTTAAAAATTACCCTTGTTTGTGTCTGCATTCATTTTTTCCTGTGTCACACTAATAAATGCAATCTTACAAATTACAAACATGCACAAAAAGATTATTGGAAGGATCAGTCATATATTAATTTAATAACAACAGGTTTGTCTTCTTGAAATCATGTGAGAGCCATCAAATATCTAAAAAAACAGCCCAGGAAAACTATAAATGAGGCAGTATAACTAAGTTTTGATGACTGAGATTTACCCTTGCAATCACAGTAGTCCTAAATTAGAAGGAAGGATGCTGCAACTCAAAATAATATCTGCTTTAAGAAACCGGGAAAAAAAATTGGAAGCCAGATTATACCTCATCACTTATGTTTATATTTTAACTTCAGAGTCCAATTATCTCCCTGCACGTTGTGCAGTCAGTCACATAAATACAAAGTGAATGTAGAACATGAATACATCAAAAGGGTAGGATTTGCATCCAGTTTGCCATGATATAACTATACAACATGTAGAGGGCAGTGATGATTTGGGCCCTAACTTCTTTTGCTACATAAAAGTCCTCCTAAACATTAGAGCTGGATGAAATAATGCAAACAAAATCCTATGAATTTTTGAATGAATTATGTTTGCACCCTTTTATGTTTGTTTTGTGCAAATATTCGAGAGACAGTTTTATCAGCACAAATCGATGTGTTTCAAATTTGCATGAACCAATGTGAATGGAAAGTAGAGTTAAATTCACACACAACCACAAGTATTTGGGCTGAAAATACTTACCATCCAATCAGGGAACAAAAACACCACCACAAACTTAACTGACCAATCACAACTAAACAAATCAGCTCAAATTTTGAATATTTGTCCATAAAGTCCATAAAGTTAAAAAAAAGTAAAATAAAATATGTTGACAAGGTTGAACAGAAAATATATTTGGGGAAATTGTATCTCCGTTGGCAGATAGTCCCTGAATAGGAAAAGAGGCTCTATTAGTCTATAAATTTTCCTTTGCAA